TATTTTTGACAGAGAGAGACACAGAGCATGAGCAGGGGCGGGGCAGAGAGAGAGGGAGACACAGAATCTGAAGCAGGCTCCAGGCTCTGAGCTGTCAGCCCAGGGCCTGACGCGGGGCTCGAACTCACAGACCATGAGATCATGACCTGAGCCGAAGTCTGATGCTCAACTGACTGAGCCACCCAGGTGCCCTGGAACAACTCTTTATTACAAAAAGATTCCAGTTAAATGTAGAAGGAAAAAGGGAAATAAATCACCATAGTAAGAACTACTGTAGACCAGAAATACCAATAGATGCTAAGATTGGTGGGCAAAAGTTTAAGCAGAAGTAGGATATTTGCACAGTCTCAAAGTATCTCCCAAAAAGTAATTCATTACAAAAAGGAAAATAGTTGCCTTAACCAATCAATCAAAGTTAATAACATCACGAATGGTAGGCAGACTTTAAGATGGTCCCTAATGATCCTCTTGTCCCAGTGTTCACATCTTTGTGTAACCCTTTCCTCTTGAGCATAGACCAGCCCTATCTTCTGGCAAATAGAACATGGCAAAAGTGATGGGATATCACTCCTGAGATTAAGTTGCAAAGAGACTGTGGTTTCTGTTTTGCTTGCTCTCTTGCTTTCTCACTTGCTCATTGATGAAAGCCAGCTGCCTTACGGAGAGGCCCTCAGCCAATAGCTAGTGAGGAACTCTTCTTCAGTCTGTCATCCCCTCAGTAACTAAATCCTTCAGGCAACCACATGAAGGAGCTTGGGAGTAGATCCTGCTCCAGTCAAGCCTTCAGATGAGACCACAGCCTTTTTTGCTGACATCAGCTAAACTGTGCCTGGATTCCTGACCCATAGAAACTGAAATAATATTAGTGTGAATCCACTAAATTGTGGGATAATTTGTTTTGCAGCAAAAGATGCCTTAATGCAACTAGTAATACATTGCAACATCATTGATCACCTGGTATGATGCACTGAGAAGGGCACATTGTCCCTGGATATCCTTCCCAAGAACACATAGCCTCAATCAGATCATGAGAAAAATATCAGACAAACCCTATTACCACAAAATATCAGAATGAGGGACATTCTGCTTTTTGAAAGTATCAAAGGTCATGAAAGACAAGAAAAGACCTACATGTTATGTACTGGAGGAAACTAAGGAGACATGACAATGTGGATCCTGGGAAAGCTGGGGAAATTCTTTTCTAGAGTTTAGTTTAATTAATGGTATTGTACTAATGTTGATTTCCAATTGTATTTACAAATGTTTGATCATTATTCTAAGGCAGGGTTTCTCAGCTTTGGCACAATTGACATTGGGGCTGGATAATTCTTTGTTGAGGATGCTGTGCCTTGTAGAATGTTAAACAACATCCTTGGCTTCTACCTACGAAATGCCAGTAGCATCTCCCTCCCTACCATTTGTGACAACCCCAAATGTCTTAAGACCTTGTCAAATGTCCCCTGGGGAACAAAATCACCCCTGGTGATCTCTGTTTTCATTATTTACTTTTTTTAAGATTTTATTTTTAAGCAAACTCTACACACAATGTGGGGTTTGAATTCATGACCCCAAGAGCAAGAGTCACATGCTCCATCGACTAAGCCAGTCAGGTGCCCTACCTCTGTTGTATTATTATGTAAGATGTTAATATAAGAGATGGCTGGGTAAAGAGTATATGAAAAATCTACGCTATTTTTGCAACTCTGCACTAAGTTGAAAATCATCTCCTTTTTTGAGAGAGACAGATTTTTAGGTAGACTCCATGCTCATTGTAGAGCCAGACGTGGGGTTCAATTCCATGAGCCATGAGATCATGACCTGAGCCAAAATCAAGTTGGATGCTTAACCGACTGAACCGCCCAGGCACCCCTGATAAATATTATTTCTCATCCTCATTTGATATGGAGAAGCTGAAGCACAGAGGTTAAGTAATTTGTTCAAGGTCATAGCAAATGGAGGGCTGGGCTTTGAACCAAAGTAATCTAGCCCCTTAATGCTCTTAACCTACTACATCCTGTCTCAGATTCCTTGTAGACATATTTCCCTGTATTTCATATCACTGCGCCCCATTCTTTTTAATGGTCACATGGGTCTAGTTCCAGATGAACTATCATCGTACTCTTCCCTGTTGGGGTCTGTGCCTCTCATATCTGTCTCCAGCCCGTCCTCAGGCACCTCCTCAGTGTCCCACAGGTGCACACTTAACTTTAAATGGATTCAAACCGAGCTCACCATCCTCCTATCGGCGGGTCCTCCTGTGTCCCTAGCTAAGTGGTAATGCCAACACCCACCAGTCACCCAGGACAGAGGCAAGAGCCAGACTGAGAGGCAAGGACCTAAGTAAAGTAGGTTCCAAAGGAAGTAGAAGATGTTTGGGTCAGTGGCATCGGACAGGGTTAGCCTTGCCCCCCCCCCCCCAAAAAAAAAAGAGAGAGAGAGAGGTGGGAAGATAGCTTTGGACATCTGGAGAAAACAGGTGGGTAGAGGGAGGATGGAGGAGCCAAATTTAGGCTTCTGGGCTCTTCGCGGCTCATCACCAAGGCGACTACGTCGCTATGGCAACAACTAAGGCAGCACCAACTCTTTCAAATACCTCGTGGGCTGCCGTCACCCCCAAACCACCCAGGCACTTCCGCATGGGGGGTTGCGGGAACGGTTTCGGAAGGCGGGATACTGACGCAGGGACCAATCGGATGGGGCCTGTGGAGAAGGACGCAAAAGATGGGGTCGGGACTTCTTTGTAGCTCGCCAAAGGGCGTTGAGAAGGACGGGCTCCTTTCCCTTCTCTACCAGTTAGGGGCCGAGTGAGGAAGGGGGCGGGACCGGGGTGAGGCCGTACGGGGGCGGGACCCAGGTAAAATGAGGAGAGGATCCGCCCAGTCTTGGTGCTACCCAATAGGAGGCCAGAACACCTCTCCGGACTGTTGCGGTGCCCAATGAGCATCGTCGCCAGGCCCCGATGCGAGGAGCTCCGAGCCAATCGGCGGCGGCGGTGGGTGGGCGCGGGCGGCGTAGGCGGTGCGGCGGAGGCGGAGCGGGCGCTGCGGCAGGAGGGAAGATGGCGGACGAAGAGAAGCTGCCGCCCGGCTGGGAGAAGCGCATGAGCCGCAGCTCAGGTGCCGCGGGGGTCGGGGCTGGGGCGGGGCCGCGCGGGCCCGCGGAAGCAGGGCTCGAGCTCGCCCCTCGGGCGCAGCGCCGCCGCCCGATTCCCGTGGGGTCTTGGCTTCTTCGCGTCTTCCCAGGGTAACGGCCCGGGCCCGCCCCGTGGGGGCTGCGAACCTCTGGAGCGGGGATGCCGGAGGAAACTGAGGCAAGGGGCGGGCCCGGAGAGACCCTGCGCGCTGCCGGGGGGGTAAAGGGCCTGTGATTCCGCAGCAGTCCCCCGGGTGATGGCCCTAGCCCTGCCCATCCGGCTGACACCTTTTGGCCTAATGCACCTGACGTCCCCGGGGAACGCCTGTGCACCCCGCTGGGCCCGGGGGACACTCCTGGGGAAGGACACCCCAACCCCATGCCCAGGGCGTGGCTCCAGGGTGGTGCTCGGCCTCGGGTGCACAGCCTATTCCTGCCATCCCCACCTAATGCTGAGTCTGCGATATCCTCTCGGTGGTGTTCTGCCTCAGGATGGTCCCTGTGCTGGGAGCTCGATTTCAGGCTTATCCACAATAATAATATCAATAACAGGGCGCGTTCATCTCACCGTCCAGCATTGTGCCAGGTGTTTTAAGTGTGTTCTCTCTCTCGCTCTCTGAATGACCACAACTGTAGGAGGTAGGTAGTTACTATCCCCATTTTGCAGGTGAGGAAACTGAGGTCGGGAACTTAAGGAACTCACCCAAGGTCATTCATTCCAGGGGGGCAGGGGCTAGATTAGAACCCAGTCAGTCTGACTGCAGAGCCCCCTGCCCTTGTCACCGCAAACTCCTGAGGATCAGGCCCAGCATTTCACTGCACCGCCTCCATAACCCATAAAAACTGCAGTCACAGTTATTTCTGTTAATTGAATGCCAGGCACTCTGGTGACCGCTTCACGTGTATCATCACTATTCTCCACATTAACCCCATGAAGTTATGTCCTTATTCTTTTGCTTCACTCCCTCTTTTCAGATGAGAAAACCAAGGTTCGGGGGGATAGAGGCCGTTGCCAAGGTTTTAGAGTCGGTCAGTGGCTCCGCTCTCACCCAGCCTGCTCCAGCCCCGCTCTGTGGCTGCAACCTCGTGATGAATCTGATGCTCGGCCCAGTTCTGGGCCCCCTCTCTTGCCTTTTCTGCCTGCCCCCTCCCTCCCTGATGGTCTTCCTCAGGGGTGACATTCAGCTCTTCATGGTGCAGGGTGCAAGTTGTCCACGCAGCCCAGGCAAAATGTCAGCCCCCGGAATGGTGCCTGGGCTCTACTGGGTCCTACTTCAGTCTTCTTCTTTGCAGCCTTCACTCCTTCATGCTCCTCAGGCCCTGGGTAATGTCTGGCCCCCAGCCATGCTGGTCCCTAGTTGTGCAGCACTGTGCACCGAGTACGGATTAAGAAGAGACCTTTTGTGTTTGACACCCTGGGTGTAATTCCTGCCTCCAACCCGGTGTTCCTGGAGCAGAGTTTATACTCAGGAAGCGTTACCAAAGATGGGGAAAGGGAGGCCTCGTTTTTGTCGTCTCTAAAATGGAGGTTATAGCTATCACACTCTTCGGGTGTACCGGCCACTATCCTGAGCATGTTACAGATGCGAACTCATTCCCTTCGAACAGCCCGACAGGCGGGTACCGGTGTCTCCATTTTATGCGTTGAGAACGTGGAGGCCCGGGGAGGGGAGTTCATCCAGCGAGTGACAGAGCCATATTTGGACAGGCAGTCTGGCTGCCGAGTACGTGCTCCGATCTGCTCCGTGTCCCCCTGGCTTCCTCTCTTCTGTCACCCTGGGTTATTTTCCTCCTTGAAGTTACCAATAACTAAAGTTGTGATGTTGTCTTATTCGCTTGTCTGGTGCCTCTCTGCCCCCACCTAGAATGTTAGCTCCCTGAGGGGCCAGTGGCACGTGGCGTAGGACACAGTGGATTTGCTGCATGAAGGCATCCCATCGGCCAGTCCCTTATCTTGGCCTCAGGGTGGCGTCCTGTGACTGAATTCCTCCCCCCCCCCCCCACTCCAGGCAGGGTGTACTACTTTAATCACATCACTAATGCCAGCCAGTGGGAGCGGCCGAGTGGCAACAGCAGCAGTGGCGGCAAAAATGGACAGGGCGAGCCCACCAGGGTCCGATGCTCACACCTGCTCGTCAAGCACAGCCAGTCACGGCGGCCCTCGTCCTGGCGGCAGGAGAAGATCACCAGGACCAAGGAGGAGGCCCTGGAGCTGATTAATGGTGAGCAGGGCTGGAAACGGGTTGTGTGGAGGGGGGGGGGTGTGGAGGGGTCTCCGCTCCTTGGGGGCCAGAGCTGGCCTTGTGGAAATCACCCCAGCTAATTCAGCCGTCAGCGTTGGCTGACACAGAAGTGCCTGTACCCGACCTGAGCCTCGCCCACCCATCTGTCTCTCCTTTTTCTTTCTCTCTGGCATTGGGAGGGTGAGCCAGGTTAGGAAGGGAGGGCCCAGCCTTGGTGGCTGGCAGACCCGGGTTCAGATGGTAGCCATGCCCCATAAGCTCTGTGACCTTGGGGGACTTGTGCAACCTCCTTTGAGACTCAGTTTTCACCTCTGTAAAATGGGCACTGTCACACACCTGCCTCTGAGGCCCATGGTGAGGATTCAGTGAGGTGAGAGTGTTTGGTGCACGGTGGGCCCTTGGCCAGTGGGAGTTATTGTTGCTGGTAATGTCATCGATCAGGGTTCTGGGACACATATGTGGGTGGGTCAGGAGAGAGATTGGAAAGGTAGCAGCTTAGAACTTGCTAGCAGACTTCAGTTAATTAATTCTGCCCTGAGAGAAGAAGCTGTTCCTGTCTCTGTTCCATGGTTCCTCCATGGTCTAAGCAGTAGTGAGCAGACAGACTTTCTCTTAAAAGGTCAGGTAATAAATAGTTTAGGTTTTATAGGCATACGGCTCTGCTTTGTAACTGATAGCAGCTTGAGATAATATGTAAACAAACGGCTGTGTATGTGCCAATAAAACTTTATTTACAAAAGCAGAACTTAGCTCATTAGGGGCCATAAGTTGTAAACCCTGGTGCAGAACTGCTGGGTATGGCCACCACTCCCTACACAAGGCTGTTTTCACTTAAATTAATTAAAACTAATATTAGAGACTATTCCTCATACTAGCTGTACTTCAGGTGTTCAGTAGCCACATGTGGCCAGCGGCTGCCATCTTAGCGCAGATAGAAAACATTTCTATCCTTATGGCAAGCTCTTTTGGGTGGTGCCAGTCTGGATCTCGCGTGTGGTTTTATCATCCATCCAGGCTCTGCCACCGCAGACCCCAGACCCCTCCTGGGCTGCTCTTACCCCATATACCCAGACAGCCCGGGTTCCCATCTGGCTCTGCCCCAGCCCTGGCTCTGTGACTTTGAGAAAGTTACTTAACATCTCTGAACCTGTCTTTTGACTTGTAAAATGAGTATTTTGACCATTGAACCTATCTCCTAGGGTAGTTGTGAGCACTCTGACCTAATGCAGTAAAGCCCGAATAACAGTTCCTGGTGTCCAGGAAATGTTCTCTAGTTGCTGGCGGTCATTAGGGTGGTTGTTATTAGCCCAGGCCTGCCCAAGTGCACACTTGGTCAGTATTGGCTGTTTTACTATCCCATCCCAGTATTTGGCCTATAGGATATTACTTACCCAAACCCACGCACCACCCCCCCCCCCCCCACGGTGTCTAGCACGATCCGTGCATGGCCCCTGTGAGCCTCCTACCTCAGCATTATAGAGAGGAGCAGAGTTCATGCACAGAATCTGGACTGAGCTCCGTGAAGGCAGGGACTGGCTTTCTTCCCACCATATTCCCAGCGTTCAACACACAGCCTGGCCTAGAGTCCCTGCTCACAGCATTGTTTCAGGAAGCAGCGGGAAGCGAGAAGGATTCCTAGCAGAGGAAATGGCAGAAGTAAAGGCCTAGGGCAAGGCTGTAGCCAGGACTCTGGGGAAAGACCCTTCAAGGGCATGTCCCAGCCAGGTTGAGGAGGGCTCTGAATGAGTTGAAGAGTTTGGGTCCTTTCTGGAGACGGCAGGAAACACACGGCTCCATGTGCCTGGGGGCTGGGCCTGTGACGCTTTGCTTTCAGGAGAGAGCTGTGTGGCTGGAGGGTGAAGGGCCGGGGAGGCCGGGGGTGCCCGGAGCCCAGCTGGTTGGGTCTAGCAGTGAGCGACGAGGGGGGGTCTGCCCACCTCAGGGGAAGCAGAGGAAGTAGGTGGGGAAAGCCCAGAGAATCACGAGGGGACTTCTCGAGTCCTCCCAGCTCAAATGGTCCCTGTCCTGAGGCTTTTGGAGCCACGAGAGTGGGCAAGAGGTAATAGGCCTTTGGAGATCGAGTGACAGGAGGTGCCACCACTGGCGGAGGGGACTCGGGTAGGGGCGCAGTCCGGAAAGGGACTCCTGAAATCTGAGGAGCCCGAGGAAGAGCTGTTGGGGGCAACTGCGAGAGGGTCCAGGTTCAGCAGAGCACCCAGGCCAGAGAAGGAGACCCTTGGGACGATCCTGGTGAGAGATGGCAGGAGGCTGAGGCAGGTGGGCACGGGGAGATCTGAGCGCAGCTTGGAAGGAAGGCTGTCACACCCTGGGGACTGCCTGGGAGGGGCAGGTGAGGGTGCCTCCCCATCTCCAGGAGGGACGAGTGTGTGCCTGGTGGGCTGATACTGTGGTGGGAGCGGGGGGGGGGGGGGGTGCTGAGGTCAGCTTAGGCCTTGGCGAAGGGGTAACTGGGAGGTGCTCCCAGGAAGTAGCCGGGCTCTGGGGCCTAACCTTAAGTTGGCGCAGACTCGGGGGTGTTAGCAGGGGCTGGCTGCACGTACCTGCGCGGTTGGCCTGGGGGCCCTGCAGCTCCAAGCAGTGTGACCTGCTGGGCCAGGGAGCGGTGAGGGGAGCAGATTCTGGAGAGTTGAGAAGGCAGAATCAGGAGGACTGGATAACGGATTAGTTGGGTGGGAGTAGGGTAAGGTCAGAAGCAGTGTGGCCCGTCCCAGAGTCACACGGAGATGGAGCCTGGTGCCAGCTGTGAGGCCTTGAGCAAGTGTCTTTATTCTCTGAGCCTCAGCTGCATCATCTGTAGAATGGAGACAGGATGGCCTGAGATCCAGGGGCCGGCAGCTGACTGCCCAGCAGAGCACTGGGCTCTGTGCCTGGCGCTTGCTGTCCCCACACGACCCCCATCACTCGGGCACGCGTGGCCGGGCGCGGAGGTCTGGGCAGGGGCTTGGGAGCCTGGTGCGCTCAGCGTGCAGACCCTCCGGTGACCCTGGCCTGCTGACTCGGCGTCTTGGAGCGGGGCTGGGACAGGCTCCCGGGGGGTCGTTAGGAGAGCGCAGTGAGATGGCCCAGGCCGCGGTGCGCTTCGTAACCAGACGCTCGGGTGTGCCATGCCAGCAAGCTTGGGGTGTCGGGGCCCGGTTTTCTCTTCGTGAAGGTGGATGTTCCCTGCGTCCTGGGCTCGGTCCAGGTGATCAGGAGATCAGGATTTGGGGTTGATTCTCATTAGTAGCCATTTAGATCCGGCGCTCCCCCACTGCCCCAAGGGGACGGGCTGCCCGCAGTAAAACCAGTGTCCGCATTTTCTGCTGAGGCACCTTTTCCCAGGGTCGGCTCCACTGCAGCTGCTGGGCTACGGCCAGGCCCTGTCAGGGATCTGAGGACCAGCTGCCTGTCATTGCCAGTGTCCTTGTGTAAGGAGGCCGGGCTGTGGAGAAGCCCTCTCCACCTGCTCCCTGTCCCTGAGGGTCCCAGGGAGGCCCCGGTGTGAGCAGCAGTCCCCTCAAACATACTCACACCCGGGGTCTGAGGGTCAGTGAGCACCTTTGACCTAGTGTCCCCACACAAGGTCAGTGACTCAGGAGTATTAGCAGGGGCTGGCTGCATGTACCTGCATGGATGGCCTGGGGGCCCTGCAGCTCCGAGCAGTGTGACCTCACGTGCCAGGGAGGGGTAAGGGGAGCAGATTCTGGAGAGTTGAGAAGGCAGAATCAGGAGGACTGGGTAATGGATTAGTTAGGTGTGGGGTGGGTGCTGGCTTCAGGCTGGGTCTCTGGCCTCTCTGGGCTCCTCCTTCTGGATCTTGGGTCTTTTGGGACAGCAGACCTAATCCTGTCACCTTTTTCTCTGTCCAGGCCCCTTCCCTAGTTTGTCCCTGAACCTTTTTAGAGTCAGAGGCCACCCCATTATTCACTCACTTTCACCTAAATGATTATAGTGTATTAGCTCGGGGTGTTGTAACAGAATACCACAGACTAGGTATTTATTTGCCATAGTTCTGGGGCTGGAAGTCTGGGACGAAGGTTCTTTCTTTTTCTTTTTTTTTTTTAATGTTTGTTTATTTTTTTTAATTAAATTTTTTTTTAACATTTATTCATTTTTGAGACAGAGACAGAGCATGAACGGGGGAAGGTCAGAGAGAGAGGGAGACACAGAATCCAAAACAGGCTCCAGGCTCTGAGCTGTCAGCACAGAGCCCGATGCGGGGCTCAAACTCACGGACTGCGAGATCATGACCTGAGCCGAAGTCGGACGCCCAACCGACTGAGCCACCCAGGTGCCCCAATGTTTGTTTATTTTTGAGAAAGAGCGTTAGCAGAGAGAGAGGGAGACACAGAATTTGAAGCAGGCTCCGGGCTCTAAGCTGTCAGCACAGAGCCCAATGCGGGGCTGGAACCCACAAACTGTGAGATCATGACCTGAGCTGAAATCAGACACTCAACTGACTGAGCCGCCCAGGCACCCCTGAGATGAAGGTTCTGACCAATCCAGTTTCTGGCAAAGACTCTTCCTGGCTTGGAGACAACTGCCTTCTCGCCGCGCGCTCATGTGGCCTTTCCTTGGTGTGTGCACGTGTGGAGAGAGAGATGGAGCTCTCTGGTGTCTCTTCTTATAAGGATACTAATCCTATGGGATCAGGGGCCTCCCCTATGACTTCATTTAACCTTAATTACTTGCATGAAGGCCCATCTCCAAATACAGTCACATTGGGGGTTGAAGCTTCAACATATGAATTTGGGGGAACACAATTCAGTCCCTGACATATGGACTGACAAGTAGTAACTGTCAGGCTTGTTTCACCCCAGCCACTGTTCCAGCAGTAACTACCCCCCTGGTAGCCCTTCTGGTGGGAGCTGCTATAATCAGCCCATTTTACAGGCCAGGCAAGTAAGGCTTCGAGAGGCAGTCACCCCCACAGAGGGTCATAGAGCTCAGGATGGGAAGAGCTGAGGTCTGAATGCAACAGTTGGGGTCCAGAGTTTACCCTCCTTAGCCTCGGAGACGCACTGAGCCGGCCAGCCCGTGATCTGTCAGCAGCGACAGGTGCCCTGCTGTCGTGCACACAGTTTCCGGGGCTCCTGATCTGCCCTTCCTGAAGCAGGTGGAAGTTCCCCACTCCAGACTGGGAGGTCCTTGAGAGGCTGCCCCTGGGTCTGCCTCGCTCTCAACTGGAGCCCCTTTGGATGGGTGCTGTCTTGGTGAGGGGTGTTGATGTGGGCAGGTTAGGCCAGGGCATTGCCAGGTGGGCAGGGGAGGGTTTCCTTTTCACCCTCTCTTGAGCATTTGGATCTGAGATGCACAAAAAAAGACATGAGGTTCCAGCATTTCTGCCTGAAGAGCTGAGGGGGAACCCTCTCCCTCCTTCCCCGTGGCCTGTTTCTGTCTCATTTATTCATGAATTTCTTCAGCATTAGCACCTGTTCTGTGCACAGAGCTGGGAACTGGGAACCCAGCAGTGAGCAAGGCCAACCCAGCCCTGCCCTCTCACTATGAGGTGACTGACAGACCACAGACAGGACATTGGTAAATGCACGGAGGCTTCCTCATGCAGTGGGGGTCTTAGGAAAGGCTCCTCAGTGAGGCCAGAGGACAGCAGACAGGAGGAGACCATTAAGCAAAGGCCTTGAGGTGCTGGGGCAGGGCAGGACTGGGAGGGGCGTCATGGGGGATGGGGTAATACTGAGCTGAGGGGATGCACAGGGTTCTGAGGGTTCCCTCGCATCTTGGCTTGTGGGCCAGACTCCTGAAGGTCAACTTCTAGAAAGGGGAGATTGGAAAGGAGTGTTTTGTTTTTGATTTTTTTGTTTAACATTTACTTATTGTGAAAGACAGAGCACGAGCAGGGGAGGAGCAGAGACAGAGAGGGAGACACAGAATCCGAAGCAGGCACCAGGCTCCGAGCTGTCAGCACAGAGCCCGACGCGGGGCTCGAACTCACGGACCGTGAGATCATGACCTGAGCTGAAGTCGGACACTTAACCGACAGAGCCTCCCAGGCGCCCCTGTTTTGTTTTGTTTTGTTTTGTTTTGTTTTTAAGTCACTTAAGGCTCCTGTCCAAGCAGAATGTTTTCTGAGAGTTGGCTGGCCAGGGAAAGATTTGGGTGCTGTGAATGGTGGCGGGTAAAAGCTTGGCTTTTATTAGATTTTTAGGCTGCTTTCAGTGTATGTGTACCTTGGCCAGGCCGTCTAGTCTCAGGGATCCCTGCTGACTCACGGCCCCAGCTGCCGGAGGATGTGGCAAGGAGGGGCTCGCCCTGGGCTGGGGGGCTGGGCCTGGCCCTGCAGGTGCGGGGCCTGTGCGGACAGTTACGCTTCCCGGAGGCAGGCAGGTACAGCGGGGAGCACCGCGCTCAGGATTCTCCGGCCAGCGTATTAGGGTCCACACAGAAAGGACAGGAGGCAGAATCTTGAGGCTGCCCAGGTGAGGCAAGGAACCATAAGCAGAAGTCCAGGGAATGGAGGAGGCGGCCTGTGTTCGTGATGTCCGGTTCAGCTTGGATCACGGATGGACGCAGCTGGCACAGGGGGGCCCCCTAGCCGCCCCAGGGACGTGTTCGACCACACCAGGGCGGTACAGGCAGAGGCCACCACAGCCTACAGGGGGTGGGGCTTGTGTGACCTCGGCGAGCCTTTCTGACCAGGCAGCGTACCACACTGACGGCCGGACCAGACTGAGACGTGCGGGCAAGGGAGACCAGGGATGGGCAGATCGGACAGAAATAGGGGTAGCGTTCTCACTGGGATGCACAGCCCTCACAGAAGGGAGAATTGTGACAGCAAGTGACACTTGTCAAGGTCTCCGTGCCGGGCACCGTGCTGTGTGTCGCTGTGGCCTGCTGGAAAGTGGCTAATGGTTCAGAGGCAAAGGGATGGTCAGGACATGACAAGAGTGACAGGAACACGGGACAGGCAGGGTGGTGGGGACAGCCGTGGAAGCAGCCAGGCAGATCAGGTTCCAGGACATCGGCTGCTGCCTTGACGTGCAGCAAGATGGAATGATACGTGTGTGGTCACGGCTGCGTGTTTTGGTCGTGGTCCTCGCAAAGTCTGCGCTAGCTCAGCGTCAGGCAGATGGCCCTGCCTGGGTCTCTGGGCTTCAGTGCATGAGAGAGAGATTAATCAGCAGTGTCTCTGGCGCTCAGACAGGATCAGTGGAGGGAGTGTCACGGTGGTGTTCAGAAACGCACTGGCAGGTAGGACAGGGTGATCCTCACCGGCGGTGTGGGCTGGGTGGGTGTGTGGAATGTCCCCAGGAGAGTAGCTGTCAGGGAAGCCACGTGGGAGCAGCTCAAGGTGAAGGGCCATTCTGGTGGTCTGGGGCTGGATGTCCTGGGGGCCCCGCCCAGTGGCTGCACCCGCGGTGGGGTGGGGGGTGATGGTGATGCAGGGACCAGACTAGCAGGAACACTCACTCATGTGCCAGGCCAGCTGGTTGGAGCAGGAGGGAGGCATTTAGGGGAGGAAGGGATGGCTTCTGGCTGCAGGAGCTCCTGCCTGGACTCCAGAGCGACTGGGGGCTCCTCCCCACGGTGCACACACAGTCCTTCCGCGCGCTCTGCACCCCACACGTGAGTCACCCAGGTGCGCTGTGCTGCCCCCGGCCTCCCTCTCCCCGCAGGGAGAATCGGCGCCCAGTGGGGACAGTTCGCACCCCATAGAGGGTGAATCCAATGCCTGGTACCAACACATCCTTTAGGGGCAGCTGGGGGAACTGTGTCAGCCACCTCTGGGGCCATAGTCGACGTGAACAACACGTGTCTCACCTAAGCTGCCTTGTGGTCTCTTCACAATGCGCCAGTGAGCAGCCTGGACCTTCATCCCGCTTTCTATACATTGGACAACTGAGGCCCAGGGGCTGAGGAGTTAGCTGGCTCCTGTGGCAGAGCTGGCCTGGTCCCCCGGGCTCCTCCCTTTCTCCTAAAAGTCTCTAGAAAGTTTCCCCATCACTGCCCCCGGGGGATCTTGGGCTGGGTGGGAGAGGGAGCCTGGGTCCCAGCATCTCTCTTCAATGTCAGCCCAGCCTTCTGCTGTCCTCCCCGATGTATGTGTGCAGGGTAGGAAGAGGTCATGCTGTGTTCATGTCCCGTTTGTGGGGGGAGGCGGTGGAAGTGACAGCGGGGGTGGAAGAATGGGGGCGAGCCCAGCATGGCTGTCGAGGCCACTGCGGGGCCAGGGTGTGCACACATGTGGAAGGCACCGTTTCTTGGACAGTGTGACTGCACACACGTCGGGGGTGGGGAGGCGTTCGTGGATGTGTGTGAGGCCAGTGTTCACATGTGCGTGTGTGCAAGGTAGGGCAGGGGTTGCCTGCCGCCCTCCATCTGGAGCCCTCCACCTCGTCCCGGCCTGCCTTTGACGCGCCGTCTCCCTGTGTGTCCCCGTTTCGTGTACGTCTACAGGCTACATCCAGAAGATCAAGTCAGGAGAGGAAGACTTTGAATCTCTGGCCTCACAGTTCAGCGACTGCAGCTCGGCCAAGGCCAGGGGAGACCTGGGTGCCTTCAGCAGAGGTGCGCAAGGAATGGGCACTGCCGAGCTCTGGGGGGGCTTCTGTCCCATCAGTGGGGGTCCCCTAGCCAGGTAGAGGTTGGGTGGGGCGGTCCCTGCTGCAGAAGCCTTGAGGCTCCACCAGGTGGCAGCACAATCCCTCAAGCTTCAGTGGTTGCCCTGCTTGGGGGTGGCTGGGCCACAGAGCCTCCTGCCTGGTGTCCTTCAGTCCTGGGGTGGGGGGGTCGGTCTGCGTGTCTCTGTGCAGTTGTCCCCATCAGGGACCCAGTAAGGTAGGTACTCTCCTCCTGTTGGGGGTATAGGGCTGAGTCCCCTGAGCGCCCCAGGGCCTGTCCCCTAGAATGCCCCTCCCAACACCACCTTCAGGAGTGGGGACAGCAGGAGAGAAGGGAGGAGGGTGAGGGGAGGGTAGCAGCCCTGGCTTTAGGCCTGTCTGGCTCAGGCAGTGCAACGGGAGGAACAGAGGAGAGATCAGCCACCACCCCCTCCTGTTCCTCCTCTCCCCCTCCATACTGGGGTCTGCAGAGCATCAGGGCCCGGCCAGAGATGGGGTGAGGCGGGAGGGGGGGCGGTGTCGGCAAGGGGCTGTGAGCCGAGGCAGGCAGGACAGATGATGTGGCGGGGGCTGGGATCGGGGGGCCCAGGGAGGTGAGTTCATCACTGAAATGGGTCTCTAAGTGCACAGCAGCACCTCTGCCTGCCATCCTTCATGCTGTCCTCAGGCTTCCTGGGGCTTCTTAATGGCCCTGCCGCCCCACAGTGACAGGGCCGTAAACCGCGTGATGGATGAGCAGGAGGCTCGGCGCAGGTGGGAGCCCCATCTGCCCGCCCTGCCCGGTCGTGGCCCGCGGCCATGTCTTGACCCCCACGCCCCATCCCTCACGCTTCCCCAGGTCAGATGCAGAAGCCATTTGAAGACGCCTCCTTTGCACTGCGGACGGGGGAGATGAGCGGGCCCGTGTTCACGGATTCCGGCATCCACATCATCCTGCGCACAGAGTGAGGGGTGTGGGTGGCCCAGGCCCGGCCTGCAGGGTAGGGCGCGGCTAGACGGGTGGCTGGGCCCACGGACCCTGCTGCTCCCTGCTGGCCACCAGGTGCCCCTCCCTGCTAATGTCACAGTATTTATTGTTCCCAAAATGGCCGGGGGTGGGGGAGCTCTTCACCACTGGGGGCTCCCTCTCTGCCCCCAGTTGGGGCTGTCCCTGCCAGACTCCTCTCCCCTTTAGGAATTGACTTCAGAAGGGCGGCTGCGTGGGGAGGCTCCCAGACAGAAGGGGTGGGGGTGACCCGTCCCAAAGAGAAGGCCTAGTCAGCTGAGCTGCCCCCTGCGTCCCCCGACCCAAGTCCAGGATGGGGGCAGGAGGCCCCCGGTTGTTTCTGGTTATGCTATGTTCCTCTATTCAATTGCAAAAAGCACATGCTCCACTTGGGGCCCGGGCCGCCCAGCCGCCTTGGGGCCTCGCTGAGCATCAGTGCAGCACCCCCTTGCCCTCCATTAAACTTGGAACCACTGCTCTGCTGTCCTGTGTCTCGTTCCGTCCTCGCTGAGGCGAGGGGGCAGCTGTCGGAGTGGCAGTCCTGTTCCGCCGTCCCTAGTGTCCAAGCTGCATTTCCTCCTTGAGAAGCTCCTCTTCATCCCGGGCCCCGGGGGCTCCTAGCAGGGAAGACACCAGTCAGCGCCAGTGGTCCTCGAACTCGGGTGTCCAAGAATGTTCTAGAAGGCAAGAGCAGTGCACTGGCCCCGCATCTCTGCATGCGGCAGACCCAGGTGGAGCTGGGGATCTGCAGGGGATCCTTGGAGAGCCAGACTGAAGCCTCCCGCCCCCACTGCGCCGGGTGCCCTCCACACACACACACACACACACACACACACCTCCATACCCTCCACAGGCCGCTCCTAAATAGAACAGATTACATCCAGCACCCTGATGCCTGCTTCCCTGTTACCACAAATGCTTCTGGCAGGTTGTTCCTGGGTCCTGCCTCCTCCTCAGATGTTGTTACCTTAGCAACACGGAACCGGCGAGAAGGGAGAAGGGCCACCGCCAGGCACCTCTGAGAGCGGGCATCCCGCCCGGCCCTCTGGAGGAGGGCGTCCCTGGACTGGACCCTGGGTAAAAGCCTGTCTTGGGAGCAGAGGGGATCCCTGTGGCACATCAGCTGGACGCACCTGCCCGGTGGCCTGCGGGTGTGGCCCCCCTGGTTTCCGTCACCTCACAGCTGCCCCTGTGCCAGGGCCTAGGCTGGGGGCCCAGTTCATTCAGGGGGTTTGTGGGTTTCACCCACTCTGCCCCCTCAGTTAATGGGAACCAGTCCGGATCGGGGGTGGGGGGGGGGTGGGGGATGGCAGGCTAGCAGGGCTCGGGGACCTGAGCAAAATAAAGGCCTGCCCAGCCCTACTGACCCCAAGGGAGGCCCCCGAGACTGTCTCATAAACAGTCACCTGGGCCAACTCCCATCTGGCTGGTTTCTGGAGCGATCGCTCTCTGCTCACTGCCTGCCAGTGTCATTAGGAAGGTTTAATGGGTTTCCTCTCAGCTCTGGCAGGCTGTGGGGGGAGCCGGCGGGCTGGCTGCACCTCCAAGCAGAATCTTAACATCGCCTGCGGGGGCCACGAGGCAGGCAGCAGCCCGTCCCTCGTTTGCACCAACAATTCTGTGGGGTCCCGGGGGGCTCACCCCCCCACCCCCACCCCCACCCCACCGAGACAGCAGAGCCTCTGGGAAGGGGCAGGAAAGAGGGCGGGGCGGGGGGGAGGGTGTGGAGAGGGGGTTGAGACGCCGCTGGGGAGTGTGAGGTGTTTTCCTGGGTGGGGTTGGCAGGGAAATGGTCTTTGTGGCATTCTCTGTCACTTTGGGCGTGTGTGTGTGTGTGTGTGTGTGTGTGTGGCCATGTGACTCTAGTTATCCCTAGGTGTGTGTCCTGGGTGACACTGGGAGTCCCCCTGACTGGATGTGACCACTCCCCTCCGTGGACCTCCTCCTCCCTTTGTCCAAACAAAAGAATATGGCTGTTAAGTAAACGTGCCCGGAGTCGGCTCAGTGTCGGGCTGTGGCTCCCCTCACCTGCTGCACATTCCCACCCGCTGCCTCCTGCCTGGAGGTGGGGCTGTAAATCCCAGGCCTTCTGGGGACGACGAAGGTGCATTCGTCCCTCCTGGCCCTTTAGTCGGGCATTTCCCCGCCCCAAATGCCCTGGGGACGGGGGTGGTTTCCACTCTCCTGCCACAGGCACCAGCTCGGGCTTCTGTGGCCACGCGGCAGGGCCGGAGTAGGTCACCTCAACTCGGGGTGACGCGGGCTCTGCCACGAGATGGGCTGCGAAGCTTCTCCAGGGTGGCCAGGCACACGTCCGGAGGGGGAAAGCCAGAGTTGGCGGCAGCAGCCTAAGGCACGCAGATCCTGGCCTGGTCTGGGGAGGAGGGGTATTCCTCTCCTGCCCTACCTTGGTCGGCACAAAAGCTACAGACAAGCGTCAGGAGTGCTGGGGCCTGCCTCTGTGTGACGGGGGGAGAGGGCGCTTAGGGCACCAGGCGCTCTGGGCATCACTCGGAGGACAGGCGTACCGACGGGACGGACACCCACGGCCCGCCCGGTACTCTGTGCCCGGTTCCAGGTTTGTGTGTGTTTGGGACCGAGACTCAGCAGCCCTCAATCCCAACCTTACTTTGGGAGTTGGAGAGACCAATGAACTTCTGCCCGCCCCCACTGTGAGCTATCTGGGGGATTTGCCTCCAAATCAATGTATGGGGGCGGGGGCTCAGGGGACCTAAGTGTCCCAGCCCTGTGGTTTTTTTTTTTTGTTTTTTTTTTTTAAAGCAGGTACAAAGCGCCTCTCCGTGGGCTTATCTGGGAATCAGTTCTTTTTCAATGTCAAACTTGTCAATTTAAATGGAAATTAATTGCTTTTCTTGAAGATTTCTTTAAAAATTGGTTTTAAATGAGTGCATTAGGCAGTCCCATTTATTATTCATTGGTTTCATTCGCAGCATGGCCCTGTGTCCCGAGTTCCCCGAGATGGCAGCATGGAGCGGAGATGATTTAATCAGAGGTCATTAATTAGAGATGGGGGTGGGGGGTAGCTCCCAGAAGAGCGGTTTCGCCTCCTCCATGGGCCCGGTGGGCTGGGATCTAGGCCTGTGGGGGCTCTTTGCGTAATATTCCTCCCTGGCTTCAGTGGGGGCCGTGTGGTGGGGCGAACGTGGGGTGGTGGTCAGCACGACCTTTGTTCCCCGATCACCCGCCCCAGAGGTGACTCTACCCTCTCCTGCAGTCTGTCTCACCTCGGCCACCAGGGGTCTGGCTAAAATAGAGCCTTCATCTGTTCTTTCCCTTCTGTGCACGCCACCCCCCAACAACCCCCCCAGCACCCCCCCCCCCGTCACATTACCAAGGCTCCTCAGGAACGGGCCTCTGCTTCTCCGACCTCTTCAACTCCCTCTCATGCCCCTTCCTGCCTCCCATACTTCCTAGCTTTTCCCAGCCTTCCCTCCGGGAGCTCTAGGCCCATCGCTACCCCAGCCCCCTCCAGGTAAATGGGCTCCAGGTGTAGGGTGTGGGTGTGTCGGCTGAAGGTACCCAGTGCGCCTTCAGGCTGTTTCTTTTTTTCAGTGAACTAGGAACAGGTGCAACTCATGTAAAAGGATTTTGAAATCACAAAGCAAAAAGAGAAAAGGAAAAATACTATTGTGTCCCACTCTCTCATACCCAAATTCTTAAAAGCAGCCAAATTGTTAAAAAAAAAATCTCTCTCCCTCTCTCTCTCTCTCTCACACACACACACACACTTAAAAAGTTGCCAGATGGCTCAGTGATGCAAAACCAGTGATGGAGAATATTCATCTGAGGCCTGTTTTCATCTTTGTGATAGAATTCTCGGTTGTTTGAATCAAATTGCTTTGAAACAAATTGTTTTTGAACAAAGCAACTTTGGATGGGGGTCTCTTCGCTCATCTTCCCAAAGGGCTCGCCCAGCCGTGCCCCCCTCCTGCCGCACCCCGAGGCTGGGCTTGGGACAGCTTGTGGCATGGGACACAGGGGGGCCCAGCTGGGATGGGTCTCCAGGCTCGGGCTGAGCCTCCCTCCACCTGGCCTCCTCTGCCCCGTCTGGACACACAGAGCAAAGAAAGCATCAAATGTCAAAGGTCCCGTTTATTCCAGCAACCCGGAAAGAACGAGTGTAAATAAAAAAAGAAACCGATCCATGCACTCAACTCTTAGTGGGGGGCAGGGAGGCAGGGCATGGAGTGAGGGAGTGGGGAAGGAGTGGGAAACACGGAGGGAGGGGAAGAAGGAAGAGAGAGACAGAGAGGCAGACAGGGAAAGAACTGGAGAGTCAGATCAATGAAAAGAGACGGACACTAATAAAAAGGCAGAAAGAGTGAAGGATCAAAATTCGAGACCAACAAAGGAGAAAAGACACAGACAGAATGCACTAAGAGAAACGGGGAGGCAGAGAACGAAAGCCCGGCCAAATGGGAGGGAGAGGAAAAAACGTACGGGACAGGGGAGAGCGAGGGCAGGCCGGAGACAGAGTAAGGGGGACACGGGTGGGGTAGAAGGGCCCCGGCCCTCGTGTGGCAGCCTGAGCCGCCGTGGGCCCTAGGGGTCCCCGGCGGTGCTGATGACGTGGAAGAGGGTGACGTTGTAGAGCACCTGGTGGCCGTTGTTCCAGGTGTAGAGGGCCCGCTCCCGGGGGTTGTAATCCAGCATGGAGATGTGGGAGTACTGGTTGTGGAAGGGCACGTCCGTGTACTCGTAACTGGACGTGTTGGTGAAGTAGGCGAAGTAGACCTTGGCCCCGGCCAGGTGGGAGTTGGTCACGTAGAGCACGCCACAGATCATGAAGGCCTCGCCAGCGCTGCGCTTGGGGTAGCCGGTGTCCCAGGACCGCACGACCTCGAGGGTGTGCGGGTCCAGCCGGCTGACCACGATGTTGCCCGCGTTCTGGTTGGTGGTGTAGACGGCCCAGAGCCCGCTCTCGTCCACCATGAAGTCCATGTCCGAGAAGCCGCCCCAGGAGTAGGGGAAGGTGTTGTTGTAGCCGGCCCCCGGGAGGCTCCTCTGCACCAGCACGGAGCGCGAGCGGAAGTGGTACTTGACCACCACGTTGCTCTGGTACTTGTTGTAGAACAGGGAGCCGTTGTATACCACGTGGCCCGTGCCCGCCCACGGCTGGGGCAGCAGGTGCTGGATAAAGTTCTGGCCTTTGATGAAGTCTCCCAGAGTGCGGAACTCCAGGACCCGCCGGCCCTTGTAGTAGCCATCCATGTACCAGACCTACGAGAGAGCCGCTGGTCGCTGTGGGACCACCGCCAGGGACCCGAAGGCCCCAGCAACCACACGGGAACCACCCACGGTCATTAGGGATCAGCAGTCGCTGAGTGGCCATCAGTCAGCCGTGGGATGTCCGGTGACCCTTCATGACCCCTCAGGGCCCCAGTAGCGGGATCGTTCGGTCGGGACCCGCCACCGGTCTTAAGACAGACACCGAGTGGATGGTGTTTGCTACCTAAGGATCAGGGGAAGTTGCAGCCCCTGGTGACTCTCGGGGCCCAGGAATTCACCGGTCATCGGAGACGGGATGGTGAGCGGTTACCGGACAGCCCTCGGGTGATGAGGTCAGTTGCGCTCACTGCCGGTGGGCAACCCCTGTAGCCACGAGATGGCCCTCCCTGGGGCAGACTGCTGGGCTAATAAGCACTTTAAAACCCTTAATGCCAACGGCATCACGACCATTTGGAAGATAAGGAAATCGAGGCTCAGAGACCTTAAGGAACCTGCCCAAGGCTCTCTAAGAATTAGTGGCAGCGGGATGCACATCCAAGTGTGATTCCCCATCCCAACCTCCTAACCCCTTGGTTGGACCTCATAATCCCTGGGAGGCCAGTGATCATCGTGAGGCACTGGCTGTTCACCACCTCTCATCCGGGACACTCAGTGGCCACCTCGTGACCAGTATCAGTCACTAGGGCAGTTAATGGATGGTTCCGGTTAATGGGTCAGAGGTGATGGGCAGTCGTGACCACGGGGGCCACCAGAAGTCCAAAGGTCAACAGACTTGGCGATTTTCAGGGCTGGAAGGCCCTTGGTCACCTGGTGGTTATGAGACCGTCAAGGGGAGGGTCAAGGGCCCCAGAGATCTTATGACACTTGAGGCTACAAGAGAAGAATTGGTGTGGAATTGCTGGGCACCTGTGGATGGTCACAGGCTGTCTCCCCAGGCTCTGACCCCTGGGGTGGGCACAGTCACTCACCCGGCTGTCCGCACTGGGGGCCATCGTGTCGGTCATCCAGGAGCCGAAGCGGGATCCCATGGCCCGAACGGTGATAGGGTTGCTGACCCCAGTCAGCTTCCCACAGCCTGGGAGGCAGGAACAGGGCCGATGAGGGTGGAGAATGAGAAGAGGCAGGGCAAGGACGGTGCGGTTCGATCAAACCAGGAAGAGCTGGGACCAGGGCTGAGGGAGGATCCAGAAATCTGGTCCCAAGATGGAGTCAGGTTGAGGGTAAGAGACTGGAAGTCAAGAGTCAGGGCCATTTCCAGTTTCTGGGTCTATTTTGGGCCTTGGGTAGGGAGGTCAAAGGTCAAAGTTCAGAAGTTGGAGGTCAAAACCGTGTCCAGCTTCTGGGCACACGGGTGGCATTAGGGTTGGGCGTGCAAGTCAGGGGTCAAAGTCAAGGGTCAAGGCATACCCAGCTTCTGGGCGCAGGCATGGAGCCTGGCCTCCAGGGCCATCACCCGCCGCTGCAAGTCCTCGTAGCCGTAGGCGCCCATCTCCTCCTGGATGGCAGCAAGGCTGCTGGAGAGGTTCCGCACTTCCTCCCGCAGGCGCACGATGGTCCGCGTGTCCGCCTTGTACTGCTCCAGGACTGAGCTCAAGGGCAGCAGCTCCGACATCCTGTCCTTCAGTTCCTGCCCGCCAACACGGAACCCTCACTGATCCTAGCCCCTGACCTTTGACCCAGGCCTGACCCCAACCTTTGACCCATAGCTTCACGCCTTTTTTTTTTTTTTTTTTTTTTTGAGAGAGAGAGCTCACATGCATGAGCAGGGGAGCGACAGAGAGGAAAAGAGGGAGAATCCCAAGAAGGCTCCACGCCATCAGCACAGAGCCCGATGCGGGGCTCGAACTCACAAAACGAGATCATGTCCTGAGCCGAGAGTCGGACACTTAACCAAATGAGCCACCCAGGCGCCCCCTCACCCCTTATCTTTGATGCACCCCTGGCTCTTGACGTTTGGTCCCTACTAGACCCTAGATCCCAGCCTACCCTTGGTCCCCCTCAGACATGACTACTCTCAGAAGTAATGGGCACTGATCCCAATTCTTTCCTCGGCTCCTGAGCTGACCCAGAAGGACCCACCTGGAAGCTCTTGGCCGAGAGGGACCCATCGGCCGCCCGGAGTCGTGCGTCCAGGCTTCGCATGAGGGTCTCCATGCTGCGCACGTACTGGAGGTCACGGTACGTCCGCAGCTCAAGGACCTCCATGGACTGGGAGACGTTCTGGACCTAGGAGCTTGGGAGGGTTAGGGAGAGCCAGACTCCTGCTCTCCCCGCCCCCCTGAGATGCCACAGACCGGGCCTGATGGAGCCAGAGGCCAAACACCCAGCCAACCGCCTCCCCTGCTCTTACCGGCAACCTCCCAATGACACACCCAGGCGATCTGTCAGCTCCCACCTCTCTCCCCTGCCTCCCTGCCTCCCCGTCTCCCTGCTTGCACTGTGGCCCCCGGCAGTCAGTTCTTCACACGGCAGCCAGAGGGGGCTTTGCGAAAGGAACACGGGATCACCCTCCCCTGCAGGCCCTGCGGGCTGGTCCCCCCTCCTCACCTGCCTCCTCTTCACGTCCTCCCACTGCGGCCACCAGCCCCCTTTCCTCTCACAGACTCCAGCTCCAGTCCTCTGCCTCCTTCAGGTGGGGTCCTCACAGGCAGGCCCCGCGTCTAGCTTGTCCACAGCTAAATCCGCGGGGCCCGGCGCTGGCCTAAACTGGACGCTCAGCAAGTACTTCCCAGCTTCCCTTGCCCCAGCCTCTCCTAACCCAGAGTGAGGACCCCCAGCCCCCACTTCTCCCTGCCTAAGGTGAACTCAGAGATGATCCTGGCTGCTTGTCACAACACACACTCTCCTGAACCCCTTGTTCACATGACCCTTGGAAGGTCTCAGAAACCTAACGGCCTGAGGCCCACCCCGACGCCACAGAACGTTTTTGGAGCCATCGTCAACAATCAGGGGATGCCACACGGATGTCCCAAACTGGCGGGGAGGGCAGTTCCGGTGTCGCGGGCAGGGCCAGGATCCTGCAGGGTCAGTGGCCGGGAGACTCCAGTGCCGACCAGGGTCTCTTCCGTTCTCTACGAAACCCTCAGCTTCCTCGTCTATAGGGTGATGACGAGAGGTAGCTGGTCCCTTTCAACACTGACATCGGAGCTGACTAGTGAGCAGTTCAGCCGGATACTATCAAGGGACAGCAGTCAGTCCCTAAAGGGCATCAGAGCATCCTGGGGGCGGGGGAGGTTGAATGGGGACTGTTTTGTATCAGCCCCAATCACAAGGGGATGGAACCTCACATAAACCTCTTGGGGTTGGAGGGTGAGACCCCTCCCCAAGGGACACACAAGACACTTTTTAGCAGGCGAGTCTGGTGACTCGGATGCTGCCTCCCCACACAACGCTCAGCTTCGCCTCCAAAGAAGAAAATATCCACCTGGAGGGCAGCCGGGTTATCCACCAGCTCTGAACAATCTGGATGGCTGGATCTGGCCCCGGCTGACCTGGACGGGGGCCGAGGGCAGGGTGGGACCCGAGCGCTTTTCACGGTCTGCTCTTACCTTCCCCATCAGCTGCCGCAGCTCCCGGCTCCGGCCATCGCGGGAGCAGGTGCTCTGCGCGGGGATCACAGCCGTGCAGATGCATTTCCCGTCGGGCGCCTGGGCCGAGGTGTAGAGCTGCCAGCCCTCCTCGGGGCTCTGGAAGAGGGTCTGCAGGGAAGTCGGGGGGTCAGAGAGCAGGAGCCCGATAGGGGATTCCCCCGGCCCATGCTGGGGGAGAAAGGGGACCCAGGGAAATGACAGATGCCCTGGAATGTGCTGGACCACGTGCTGAGCGCCTGGTGCATGTGATCTCAATCCCTCCTCAAGGAAACCCATTTGCCAGATGATGAGACAGGTATGGGGGGGGGGGGAGCGGTTCAGGAACGCGGCAAGGAGTTGTGGGATTCGAGCCCTTCCACAAGACAGGAATTCATCCTCGCACACGTGTTCGCATACACACAGCACTGCCTCCATAACCGTCGTGGGACGCAGACCCACTTGTACTGATCCCCAAACCTGGAGCTCCCTCTCTGCTTTCCCAGCCCACTGTGACACACGGACTCTGGATATACTGTTGTCACCCCCACCCTCCACCCCTGCTCCTGAGAAGCCCAGATAACGTAATGGCGAGAGGGTGACAGAATCCTCACGAAGACTTCCAAGCCCTTGAATAGAAGGCATCACTTCAGACTCCTAAATTAAACTTCAGGTCGGGGCACCTGGGTGGCTCAGTCGGCTAAGCGTCTGACTTCACTCAGATCATGATCTCGCGGCCCGTGAGTTCGAGTCCCGCGTCGGGCTCTGTGCTGACTGCTCAGAGCCTGGAGCCTGCTTCGGATTTGGTGTTCCCTCTCTCTCTTGCCCCTCCCCCGCTCCTGCTCTGTCTCTCTCTCTCTCTCTCTGTGTCTCAAAAACAAAATAAAAAAACGTTCAAAAAAATTCTTTTAAAAAACGGAAAAAAAATAAAAAATAAATTTCAGGTCAATTTATGATGCTCATATAATTCAGGGATCAGGCACGGCTGTGTTTCCTGAGCCATGCTCCTTCAGAACACTAGCAATCTTTCCAGGCGTGCTCAGTGATCAAATAAATTTGTGCGTTGCTCCGTGAAAGGTGTTCCTTTGGTGCAGGACTTATCAGAGCCTTTGAAATGCTAATGTGCTTCAGGAAACTACAAAATTTTCTACACTTATTAGAAAATACCTAGTGAGTGCCTATTTTATGCCTGGCATAGGGTCTGGGATAGGGCTAGGAAAAGAGGGGTAAAGAAAACATATCTGGCCCGTTGTCCATGGATGGAGGAAACAGACATCAAACATGAAAATCCACGGATACTTCTGGAACCATTCACTGCAGTCAATGCTCCAAAGAAAGTGCAGGGAGTAACGGGGGTCTTTGTCAGGCTGGGATTTCAGAGGAGATACCTCAGAGAAGGGACATTCAGAGTGAGCCAGGGGAAAACGAAAGGACAGGGGACACTTTTGACACCACAAATTCAAATCAATATCTGGACGTGTTTGAGCAACAGCGTTCGAAAAGAAGTGAGTGATCACAGGATGGAACATGGTGGCTCCCAGATCAGGCCCCCTGGAGTTTCACCAGAACATACCAGACTTAGTCACAAGCCCCAATCTTTTTGTTTTCATCAGGGAAGTACGGTCTCCTTTGTTCGACCAAACACTTGTTAAGCTCTTACTGTGTGTCAGGCTCCATTCTGGATACTGAAAACACAGCAGTAAACAAAATGCCCAAACACAAAAGCTCTTCTAGGAGCTTACATTAGACAAAGGCAGAAATAGGCAAGTAAATGCCAAATATTTAAAGGGTGACGAGTGCCATACAGGGAATCTGCAACGTCAGGGTGGCTCCAACAACGTGTCATTTGAGTCAAGACCTGAAGCCGGTGAGGGATGAGCCATGCAGATATCTCAGGAAGGAGGTTCCAGGCAGAGATCAGAACAAGTGCAAAGGCCCTGAGGCACGGCCATGCCTGGTAGGTTCGGGGCACACGGAAAAGGCTGGCGTGGCTGAAGCAGAGTGCAAAAGGTGGTGAGTAGGGGGGTGAGAGCAGGGAGGGGGCAGGACCGCATCTTCAGGACCTGTGGGTTGGTGGGGAAGACTTTGGTTTTTCCTCTGAGTGAGGTGGGAGCCACAGAGGGTTCTGAACGAGGAGGGATGTCACCTGACTCAGGTGTTCACAGACACAGGTGGTTGGGGGGGGAGGCTGGTTGCTGGGGACAGACAGGGGGGCCAGGGCAGAAGACCAGGGCAAATGACACTGCATTGGTCCCGGCGAACAAGGATGGGTGGTAGCCGTAGAGGTGGGAAATGAAAGACTGTGGTCCTATCCAGGATGCGTTCCTCCATACCCGGAAAAAGTCCTCATAAAACCCCAGTGTTTTACAGAGAAACAAAGCCTCACAATAATTGTTCATTTGGACAGCGGTTAACTGATCGCCCCACAGAAGCTGTTCCCACGAGCCGTAGCAGAGATAAGCCAGACCGTGAGTTACGAGCAATCTTGGAGACACCAGCTAATAGACCACCTTTTTCTCTCCCACTCAGTGAAGTCTTTTTTTTTTTTTTAAAGCTTATTGTAAAGTGAGCGACTGATGTAATTGTACAGATGAGCCTGACTCCCCCACTAATTTATAAGAAAAGTAAGCCATTCATAAACGCCATCTGAAATGATTGTAATTAGAGATTCTTTGTGCCTTATTTATGTACACGCTTTTTGAAGTTGGAGGGGGTCCCCCTTTTTGAATGTTTATTTAGTTTTAAATTTTTTAAATGTTAATTAATTAATTAATTAATTTTTTAAAATTTATTTTTGGGACAGAGAGAGACAGAGCATGAACGGGGGAGGGGCAGAGAGAGAGGGAGACACAGAATCGGAAACATGCTCCAGGCTCCGAGCCATCAGCCCAGAGCCTGACGCGGGGCTCGAACTCATGGACTGCGAGATCGTGACCTGGCTGAAGTCGGACGCTTAACCGACTGCGCCACCCAGGCGCCCCAACGTTAATTTATTTTTTAAGAGAGAGACAGAGAGCAGGCAGGGGAGGAGCAGAGAGAGAGGGAGACACAGAATCCGAAGCGGGCTCCAGGCTCCGAGCTGTCAGCACAGAGCCCGATGCGGGGCTCGAACCCACGAACCACGAGATCATGACCTGAGCCAAAGTCAGATGCTTAAGCGACTGAGCCACCCAGGCGCCCCTGGGGGGAATCCCCCTATTTAACAGTCCACGCCTCCCCCATGGAGCAGTGAAGTCACCCAGCCTTCCTTGCATGCAGGTATGATTGCGGGGGGGGGGGGGGGGGGGGGGGGGGG